CTGCAAGTGCTGCTTTTCTGCATGACGTCTGCTCGATGATACCCAGAGAGTTTACAAAAACCGTCATTACTGTAAACTACAGGCCAGTCCACAATCTGGGCGTTTCCCAGCAAGAAACTTGATTCTGAAGAAGAGAAAGAGAGATTTACTCAGCTTTGTTGAACAACTTTTGTCTTTCGAGTGATCAAAAAGGCAATGTTAAAAGACTGAAGAATGCCATGACTGCGTGCCATGAGACAAATAATACAACTTGCTCCGTAATCAACTAAGCATGTGCAGTAACTACAAGCTTTACATAACAAGCCAAAATCCCCACTGTAAACAATGCACAGCACCTCTTTGCATTCAAGTATCTTATGAATGAAGAATATGCTTAGTAGTAAGGAGTTGAAACAACTAAACGTGTGATAATTTATTAAGAGGGGCTGGAGTCACTTTTCCACAAGTCCAAAATATTGTTATTAGAACAGAGGCAAAATGCTATTAATGCATATATGATTTGATGGGACAAATACTTTGTTCATTACATTACTTAATCTTGAAAACTCAAATCTAAAATGACATTCAAGAGCCTTCTTTAAAAATGAGATCATTCAAATCTATCACTTCTGTACATGACACTGTATGCAGAAAATCTATGTATTCTATATAAAAGACATTGCTCCTCTATTTTACATAGAGAATAGGTTTGTTTGGAGCATAAAATCTGTTCAAAATAGTATATTTGAAAAATCCAACAGTTTCAGGCTGCAGCTTTGGCAATGTTAATGGTCTCATGATAATAAAATGAAAAAAGAATTCAAATAATACTAACAAAATTAAAAATAGTTTAAATAAATATCTTAAAAGAATAAAAAAAAGTAAAAGGAATAGTCTGCTTTAAAATCTACTATAAAATAATCTCCTTTGAGCTCATCTTCGGGTAGAATCTAAAAATAGAAATTAAATTATGAGTGGCAGGTTTGAAATCCTAACTCAGAATTGGTTCTCCCAAAAAACAACAATGCAATTCAACATCTACTGAGTAAAGCTGATATATGAAATGTGGGGCTCTGAATCAGATGTTGCAATGGAATAAAGGGTAAAAGAACATACCCTGTGTTCTTCTTATCAAGTTTACATATTAAGAACATAACTGAGCAGCAATAAAAATGATCTAGCAGAATAGATACTAAATCAAGCACGGGCATATGAGAAATGTCTTCTGAGGGTAATAGTGAAAAAAGATAAGTCCTCTAGGACAAGAGGTACTTTCCTTACTGTCCACTTTGAGAAGACTCCCGGAAGACACAGTTGATGAGGTGGGGGACCTTAAATGGGAAGTCACAGAAAACTAAGGAGTCCAAGGTCATAGATCTCATAGCACAAGTTATAAAAACACAGGTGGGAATTCAGCAGTCTTGAGAAAGACAAAAGTTTATCATACAAACCTCAAAGCAATCACCATAAGAGAAAGTATTGATAAGCTGGGCATGATCAAGATGCAAAACAACTCCCATCGAAGGACACTGTTAAGAAAATAAAATGAAAACCTACAGCCTGGGAGAAAATATTCATAAAAGAGATACCTGAAGTCCAATCCAAAATATACAGAGAATTCCCACAGAAGTCAAGCAGCCTGATTAAGAGCAGATGTCTCAGGTGTGCCACACACACTAGCACAGGTTCCCACTCACAAGACATGAGAAAAGTACAAACTAAGAGTATAATGATACCCCACCACTCACCCACCAGAGTAGCTACAACACTAATACTAAATTCACTGGTGAGAATCTGGGACCCCTGGACCTAGAAATAAATACAGAATGTTAAGAAAACACAAAATGTAATGACTACTTTAGAGCACAATTTCTTGCAGAGTTAAATATTCACCTGTAACCAGGAAGTTCACCCTACTTGTTTACTGAATGAAAGCATAGGTGAACAAAAAAGCCCACAAAATATTTCACATCAGATCCACTCATTGCAGTCAAACACTGGAAATAATGTAAATCAAGGGAATGGACTTTAAGTGGTGTCAAATTCCTACCAGGAACACTACTCTAAAATGGAACAAACCTCTGACACATGTCACAATGTGGGTTAACCTAAAAATATCATGGGAACAAAAAAGAAAAAGCAATCTATGTGAAATCTAAATACAGACAAAGCTGCAGTGGTGATCTCGAGCCTCACAATGGTTTCCTTTTCATTATGGTTGTAATGCATGATAAGGTGATGATCATGCTAATTATCCAGGACATTGATTTCTGAAGGGGATGAGGAGACAACAGGAAAGAGAAAAATCCTATCTGGGGGATGTAAGTGCTCACTATCCTGAGGTGAGATGCAGGTGTGTACATCTGTCCAAACTCACCATCCTGTACTGGTAAGCACATGTAACTGCACATCAGGTTAGGAAATACAGGAAGATAATACATCCTCTTTTCCCTGTGGTGCATCTTTAAAAAAAAAACTGACATTTGTGTTAAGCTTTCGTTATGAGAATAGTTAACAGTATCCCTCTGGAGAACCCAACTAGCATGATGAAGAAGATTAATTGATTTCTGGTAAGATGAGTCAGAAAGCATAAATTCCTCTTTAAGTGCACAGTGTTTCAATTATATATGGCATAGATTATAACCATCAAAAGTGATTTTCTTTCCTCTCTATTTCCTGTCTTAATTTATCCTGTTTTTCAGTCACATATTGACACCAGTGTCAGTTTGTCTTCAGGAAACAAAATCCCCTTTCATCCAGATCAGGAAGCCCAAATGCTTACATCATCAGATCTCAAATCCATTCCCAAACTTAACAAGCACCCCTCCTTCTAAATATAAACATACTTTTTCTTACTCCTAATGTCAAACTTAGAGCAGTTTCTTCATCAGTTCCCAAATATGCTCATCATCGATGCTAACTTTACTCAAAATACTTTTCCTATATCCCTTTGTCTGTGAAGCACTTACAGATCACCTCAGTTCTTCTTTCTCAATACCACATTCACTAAAGACTGCTCATACACATCCTCCAACTCCCACAAATCCTCTACTTACACACATTAAACAGGTAGCCAACATATATATACATACATATGTATATATATATGGATATATGTGAATATTCATACATATATGAACAATGTACATTCTTTTTTAAAGGGAAACTGTCATTTTCAGCAATGTGAGTGAATTTTGGTGACATCACATTAAGTAAAATAAGCCAAAGATAAACAAACATTGGCTGATTCCATTTACACATAAAGTATAAAATTTAAACACAGAGGGAAAAAGTGGTTCTAGTTACCAGGGACTGAAGGGTAGTGGAACTGGATGGATGTAGTCAAAGGGCACAAAATTATAGTTACCAATTAATAAGTTCAGGAGAACTACAGTTTCCATGGCAACCAGAGACACAGCAATATATTGTATATTTGAAAGTTGCAAAGGGAGTAGATTTTATTCACAATAACAAAAAAGATATGCAATGGAGTACATATGTTAGGTGGCTTGATTTAGCTTTTTTACAGTACACATATACTACAACATTATGTATTTACCATAAACATATACCATAAGATGTATACTTTTATTTGCCAATTTAAAAACAATTATTTCAATATAATGTTATGAATTGATTGAAAGGATTCCCAATGTCCTCAGAACAAGGATTCCATGCACTTTAAAAAAGATGAGAGGGAAAGAGGGAGGAAGAGAGGGAGGGAGAGAAGAAGGGAGGAAGAGAAGGAGGGAGGGAAGGAAAGGAGAAGGGAGAGAGGGAGGGAAAGAAGGGAGAGAGGGAAGAAAAGAAAACTGGGGTTGATATGTAAAATAAAAATAAAAATGGAAAAAGAGAATATACAAAAAGAAAAAAAAAAAGATGGAAATTTGAAACCCTAAGATTCTTGCTAAACTGGGCCTTTTTTTTCTCCCAGAAACATCTTTTTAAAAACCCATAGATTTCAAGCTTTTTGTAAACAGGAGTTCATTATAAGAAATGTTCACAAAGTATATGTCCACACAAGGACACAGCCCCAAAACTTTCTTAACCAACACTTACTACATGTTCTGTATTATTTTATAATCTATTTCAATTTTGAAGTGTGTTAAAATGCACTGAATCCATTTTATCCCACTTGGGTTGCATCTCAGAGATTTGAAAACATTGCCTTAAGCAACCCTCCAAAGGCCTTGCAGACCTCCCTATACAGTCTTATTTTCAAAACATCTGTTAGGTTTAGAACCAGAGCTCTACTTGTTCCTGTTGGCTCTGCCGTTTATAATGTCTTCCTGCGGCCACTCAACCATTCTTCACTGTGGTGCAATAGGAATGCCGAAAAACAGCTGCAGCTCAGCAGTCCAGCCATCACCACCCACTAGTGGTTGATGATAACAAAATATTTAACAAAGCAGCCAGGACAGGAGCCCTACCCTGTGGTGCACTGTTCAGGTAGCATCTTCGTTCTCATCTCTCTGATCATTCATCAGCAACAAGTCAGAGGTTCACAGAACCCAGGTCCCTGGGGTCAAAGGGCAGAAAGCAGAACACCTGTTCCCCAAATTCTAACTCTTGACTGTGGCTTGTACCTGGTCAAACTAAACTCTTTCTAGGGGAAACTATAAGTAGAAAAGTAGATAAACTACAGATGAAATAAAGGGTTGAAAGCAGCCCCCACAAGAAGGGGTTACTCCTCGTATTGGTCTGAAGACAGAGTTGTTTACATGAAAGAAATGAAAGTTTGAACCAAAAGTGGGCAGTGGATGTTTTTCATTGTTTCAAATCCTTTTTCAAAATATCTACTTGAGTTCCATCAATAACATTGAATATTTTAAGATATTTCATAGGTACACACTAGTCTTTGCTCACACGGTCAATCAGAACTAATAAACACAAAAATAATTTAAGACCATCGTAAGGTTTTTCAATAGTCTAGGAGATGTGTCTTCTGTTAATCTTTGTGCTACAAATTTGAGACTAGCCATGTAGACTATGAGAGCATAATAATCAGATTAAGTCATTTCCCATCCCTTCCTGCTGGGTCTTAACAATACACTGTGGTCTTATGGAGGACAGCTGAAAGGACTATTATTATCATTTCTGAATAGTCTATAAACCCACAACTGAACATATTTGTCATATTGCTCA